TCCGGCGTTCCATAGGCGTTTCACTCTCAGATGGGCATCTCCAGTAATAGCCTCCTGTGTGTTGTGGATTTGTCATTGTATGCGGGATAGGCTGTCGAAATAATAACAACGTATCGCCGCAATTGGGAACTGATTTCTAAACAATGTCCGCGCACCTGTTAATTACTGTATAATCTTCATTTAATGGGTACACAACTTTTTAGTCATACAAAGATCACAGAAATTCGCCGCTTTAAGAAAACAGCAGCACCACTCTGCAATTGTAAACTACAAAATTATGTTTATTATGTTTTTTCAACGGATCAACGTCATGGTACACAGATGTAATCCATACGTGCTCCGTTCTACTTTTAACTCAAGCCTGAGTCTTAAGAATCTTAACGCAGTGCACGAACTCTGCTGCACCAGTGAGGATCCTGAAAAATTACAAAACTATAAGGACATAAGAAATCTAAGGTTACGTGCAAACATTCGTGTTGATCCTTTTAGGAGTTTTTGAGATATTTGTTAAAGTGTGGGACACAACTTTGGAAACACACTATAGATGTTGTTCACTACGTGTGGCTAGGTCCTACCTTAAGACTGTGTTAAGTTTTCTAGGAACAAATTATGGGCAGGAAAATGAGTTGATCACCTCATTTCATAATGTTACAGTTACTGGTGCCATAGGAATTGGAACTCTTCGTTTGCTGCTGAGGATGGGGACAAAGTGCTTTAGGAGGGTGTTCCGAGTGATTATGATGTCGATTCTTAATTCAACATTCAACATTTCACAATGCTGACGTGAAGCCATATCATGTCCCGTCCTTATGGTAGTATCTAGCGCGCAAATATCTATAAATGTTTACAGGAAGAAGATTTTAAGCCAGAGGTTGATTCTTTCATTCGCGGGATCAGGTTTATAGCATTCAGTATTTTTAAAGAACGGCGAATAGGAATCGGGTATTCACTTTGCAGGTAGTATGGACGTTTCATGCTTTTAATGAAAACCTTGACACCTGGGAGAAGGTTGCACAATACCTGGCTATATGGCGAACGTCTATTCCAAGAGGCGCACAAATTGTGAGGCATCCAGAAAAGGGACAGCTCAACAACTAAGATAGGCTGAAAAGACCTGTGTAACAGGCTTTTAAACTACAGACACTGTTCCCTGCCCTCATTGTCCTAGATCCTTCCGAGCTCGTATTGGACTTACAAGACACATCCGGTCTTACAGATAATCATCTATGGTTTCAAGGCGGATAAAATAAAGATGGGTCCTTTTCACCGGTTATGGAGGAGCAGCGACAACAATGATAACAGCAACAAAGAATGGAAGTGTACCCACACATATGTTAGTTGCGTAGCCTTTACAGGACGTTGCAGAACCAACCGCAGCGTTTTTGGCTGTGTGGTATTTCTAGGCAAATTTTACGTTTAGTAATTGGCCATTGCCACTGAACGGTCAGCTGTCGGTACCACTGTCGAAACCAAACAAGACAAACTGTCCGCAGCTGGGATCGAACCCGGCACCCCAGGATTAAAAAGCGCGTTCACAATGCCTAAGCCAGAGATGCTGTGTATATCCACATAGATACATACAACTGTCCTTTTTGTAATTTCCCAAGTGGGACATAGGCCTTTCTTTAACTAACGCATACTTTAGTTCTCTATTTCACGAATGATTGGATTTTGCAGCTACAACAAAGGTTCCTAAACGGCAGATGTAAAACTGTGAACGTCAATACTTCTTTACATCGTGATTTGTGTGTTTCGCCTTTGGCGACCCTGATGAATCTAATAGGTTCTACTATCTCGTGAAATATCCAGACTGCGCAGCTAATATTCTATTCTCAGTTTCAATGCATCCATTTAAGCAACCGTCTATTTTATTTATCGCTATCCCTTCCATCAGTCTTTCAGTCAGTGAGTCAACTGGTCATTCAATCTGTCTATCCCCCGCCTCTAATGTCCCATCCCCTATCTTCCTCTTTTTCCATTTCATTCAAAAAAGAAAGATCAAAATATGTATGTGTTTCTACAAATTCTCCCCCAAAGACAACTGGTTATAATCCGACGCATTAAATATTACACACTGATGTTATCTGAGCGCGCGCGCACACACACACACACTCACACATCGTATTCCCACACATGTTCCCCACACACCAAGCTCAGTGTCCGAGTTTTATCTGTCAGAAATTCCGCCCATATCTGTGAAACATTTCCAGCTTTCAAGATAAGCCCCGATCTAAGCTGATGAGAAAGCCACCAACCACTCTGTGAGCTATTTCTGGCTACAGATTATATATTGTTCCAGTCTATAAATACTGTTTCTGCCAAACTGACGCAGGGGTGGGAAGGGGTACAGACTGAGAAGTGAACGTTGACTAACCACTGACTGCTCAGTTACTGATATCAAAGAAAAAACACAATTGAAGGATGTACAGGAAACGATATATATGCCCACGGAAATGTGACTAAAAAGTATTTCAAACAGAGAGGGGGACAATTGAAGCTAATATTAAGAGACTAGAAGAAGTTACATGTAAACAAAATAAGTATGGTAGGGGTGGGAGAGTGGATGGTTGCACGAACAGAGAGAAAGAGGCAGAGAAAGAGGCAGAGAGAGAGAGAGAGAGAGAGAGAGAGAGAGAGAGAGAGAGAGAGAGAGAGAGAGAAACAGAGAGACTGGCAGAGAAACAGAGTGATACAGATAAACGGATGTCCGGACAGACGGTGGAACGCACGGATGTGAGGACAGACGTTAGAACGCACGGATGTCCGGACAGTTTGTGGGACGTACGGATGTGAGGACAGACGGTAGAACGCACGGATGTGAGGACAGACGATGGAACGCACGGATGTGAGGACAGACGGTGGAACGCATGGATGCGAGGACAGACGGTGGAACGCACGGATGTGAAGACAGACGGTGGAACGCATGGATGTGAGGACAGATGGTGGAACGCACGGATGTGAGGACAGACGGTAGAACGCAGGGATGTGAGGACAGACGGTAGAACGCACGGATGTGAGGACAGACGGTGGAACGCACGGATGTGAGGACAGACGGTGGAACGCACGGATGTGAGGACAGACGGTGTAACGCACGGATGTGAGGACAGACGGTGGAACGCACGGATGTGAGGACAGACGGTGGAACGCACGGATGTGAGGACAGACGGTGGAACGCACAGATGTGAGGACAGACGGTGGAACGCACGGATGTGAGGACAGACGGTGGAACGCACGGATGTGAGGACAGACGGTGGAACGCACGGATGTGAGGACAGACGGTGGAATGCCCGGATGTGAGGACAGACGGTGGAATGCACGGATGTGAGGACAGACGGTGGAATGCACGGATATGAGGACAGACGGTGGAATGCGCGGATGTGAGGACAGACGGTGGAATGCACGGATGTGAGGACAGACGGTGGAACGCACGGATGTGGCGGTGTCGTGTAATCTTTTTCATGAAAGTGTTGAGTATTTTCAACGTTTTCTGATTCAAGCCTGTGTTTCTTTAAAAAATAAAGTTTGGTGTTCAGGATGTAGACTAACAATAGCGAACAATACAATATTGCCTTGAGACAGCAAGAACCGAACCCACGAGGCAGCAATAATCGAACCCACGAGACAGCAAAATCAGAACCCACCAGACAGCAAGAACCGAACCCACGAGGCAGCAATAATTAAACCCACAAGACAGGAAGATCATAACCCACCAGACAGCAAGAACTGAACCCACGAGGCAGCAATAATCGAACCCACGAAACAGGAAGATCAGAACCCACCAGACAGCAAGAACCGAACCCACGAGGCAGCAAGAATCGAACCCACGAGACAGAAGTAACCGAACCCAGAGACAGCAAGAACCGAACCCGCGAGGCAGCAAGAACCGAATGGTCCATATTAGCATCTGGCAAGAATAGAACTTAAAGGTGAATTATTTCCACACGCAAAAAGGAACCTCACTGAGAACAACATAAACAATGAATAATAAACTTCAAGCATTCGTTAACGTGTGACACGCAGAATAAATGGAATTAATCGTTTGACAGAATCATTAATACGCAACTTTCGGAACGAACTAACAAACACAAGTGAACCATGTGGTGAGAAAAGACGATGGTACTGGAAAGATGACACACTGGGAATACAATATTATAAAATATCCAGAATTGTCCCTACACTGAACTCAAGACGTCGTAGAAATAAAGAGAGGTTGGAAAACGTATGCAAAATAACAACAGAAACTGAGATAAATTAGATGGAAAGAGCGTCAAATGAGTTTCATGCGATGTCCCCGCCCCCCCCCCTTTTCCACACACACACACACACGCACGCACGCACGCACACACACACACACTCACACTCTCACACTAACACTCACAGACTCACACTCACACACTCACACTCTCACATACACTCACACTCTCACACGCACTCACACTCACACTCACTCACACTCACACTCACACACACACTTCAACATTTGGTAGATGGGGGAAGGGTTAATGGCAGAAGTAGAGCAGTGACCAGAGTAACAATTAAAAGTTAAAGCAGTGTTCCTCACCTGATGAAGGAAAAGTCAGGTGGCTGCTAACAATTTCTGCCTAACATAAAATGGGGTATAGTTGGTAGGTTTTTTTCATTTCTAGGATTGTAGCTTGTGGATTCAACACCTCAAATGTTAGAACCGAAAGCTTCGGCTGAAAATGGAACTTTTTTTTGACATCGGATACAACATATAAACTGACCGTCCAGAAGCAATGGCAAACTACTGCACGTAAATTTGCCTAGAAAAACCACAGAAGCCATACAAATTATGCGGTTGGTTCTGCAACGTCCATTGAAGGATAGGCAACTTAAAAAGTGGAGCCCAGTAACGTTTTGTTTCTGAATTCCCCTAGTGCCGATTCTCACACAAGACTTTGGGCCCGCAATCGTGCGTTTAGCCAGAGTAACAGAAGGGGTCAAGGTAATTATAAGAGACGTATAAGAAATCATCTTACCTCAAGGAAGGAATATTTCACATAGCGGTGGATCAGCGCTGTCTTTCCACACCCACAGGAGCCAACAACAACAATCTTGGATCTGATTTCTGTCGACGATCCTGGGTTTGAGCTATCCAGTTCTGCAACTGGAGCCAATCTGTCCTTTGAGCAAGCTCCTTCCTCCCTCAGTCGGGGAACTCCTCCGTCCCTTAGTGGCATGAACACGAAATCTGAACACTTCTTGTCTTTCATTGAGATCAGGCCCTGGTGTCTGGACACAGTTTCTTATCTACAGACACTTACACGTGATATTCCGCTGACAATTCATATGTACGTTCAAAAACTACACGAAACACAGGCTTTACTTCTTTGGCCCGCATTACAATTCAGTATTGGGTCAACTATAGCCAGATTTTGTTCAAGGAAAACCTGCAAATAAAATTGTTTACGTTATGTTATTAAAATTTAGAGCTACTTTCCCAATTTATCTCATGTTAACCAAACTTACAGTGGTATTTCTCAGTGTTTATTTGATGACAGAAATAATTGCAGTGAAAACAAACGCCTCTGAAAGTACCAATAACTACAAATTCTCACAGACAACTAACTTTGCTGTACTCAATTTAGTGACTTGCATACATAAAATATAACAGCCTTTTCCTTCGTGTTGCCATTTAAGTATGTGCGTGCACGGCAACACATAATTACAAAGCATGTCTAGATGCCTTTAATCAAGGACTCCAGAACCAGGGGTGGGGGGGGGGGACCTTACACCCCCTCCCCCACCTCACCTCCGGTTAGTGATGGGTTTGAAACGATGCTAGGCATAGGGGGAGAGGGGAAGGTGAGCGCACCAAGAAAATGTGCAAGGGGACAAAGTGGTGCCCCTAACCATGTATACGCCTCTTTTTTGTGCAAGTATTGGTTTATACAAATCATTTTTTCTTTCTCCAGTATATTATCATATATGTGTGCTTCAGCACATAATGAGAATAATGCGTTAAGTTCTTTGGGACACCTCTCCCAGCCCTTACTAAAGTTAAAGGGGCTGACTCCCTACCGCACAATTTCTTTGAAGAGCCCATGCCTTTAATCTTACACTTTAATTACTCTGTATAATTCATCTGATGAACATTTGTTAATCTCCCATGATTGGCCCACTGTTTGAAATCTGGCTGAATGAACTCTTGCCAGGCTGGCGTGTTGAAAGAATAAACCAAGAACGGCTAACATAGACATAAATGGTTACAGTCTTTTCTGGACGTCATGAGTACAGTTTCCAGCTCCGTCCTTTGTTTCGCGAGAGCTTTCCTGTGTAGGTTCCTGGGTCCCACTGTGGGGGAGGGGGAGGGGGATAATATATCCACTACCCCTTAGCAAACATGTCGTAAAAGCAGACTATTTAGCGCTGTTTCCTTTCAAGTCGGTGTAACTGCCTCAGAAGCAAGGAACCCACTGTCTACATTTGAATAAGCCAGATCTGTAAAATGGATTTGCATTAAAATGTGCAAGTTCTGGTACAAGGTTAAAGTTTAGAAATTGACGAACAACTAGAACTTCCTGCAGGAGTTTACAGCCAGTCAATGCGAGGAAAAAGAAGAAAAAGAGGAAGAGGTTCGCGACAGACAAAATGACATACAGACAAACGCCTTGATACAGCTTAGCATATACCATACAATTCTTTTTCTTTTTCTTCTTTGCGTTTACCAGCTGTAAACTTTAGGTGAAAGTTCTGGTTATTCGTCCACTTCTTGACTGCAGTTCTGTTCCAGAACCTGAGTGTTGCGTGTGCATCCGTTTGCCACAATATTCTGACACAGGTGTATAGTTTAACATATACTATTACTACAACGGTGTTTCTCATTGTCTAAAACAATATGTTAACCAATGCTGCGCTATCCTGACATAAAGACGTATAACGTATTACATTTACTGTGGAATAGTATTCCCACAGTTTAATATGCTGCTGTATACTTCTATAATCTTACATACATATACACACTGTATAATGTGATATACTGACTTACAAACATAAGGAAGCCAACATTTACTGTGATATATTGACATATAAACATATATAGGCCAGCATATCAATGTCACATACTGTCATTTAAATGTATAAAGCTTAACAGATACTGTGGTATACTGACATATTACCTTATACCCCCCCCCCCTCCCATACACGTGACTGGTATATCATATGTTATACATGCTGTCCTACACATTTTTAGTCCAACACAATGTGCTATCTTATGCTTACGTTGTATACTGACATACAAAGATATACAGCCTTACATATATTATCTTATTTTTCAGTAAATTCTCATATTCACTTTGCTGTACTCCTCACTAGTAAAGAACAGTATACTGAAATATATGGTAAAGTTTCAACACAGGTTGTACATATTACTTAACCAGTCTCAACCGCACACGTTCACCGTTAAACTAACGCGATAAGGGTTCCTTCAATCGCTGTGCACGTCTTACTTGTGTTACATCTTCATGTAACCACTGTCTTACTCGACATTCCTAACCCGAACACACTGCCAGCACTGGGCTTGCGAATAAAGAAAGCAAGACCGTCAACACAAAATAATAGGTCTCTCTTGATTGGAGCTCAGGGCTAACAGTGATCTGAAACAGTCCAAGTTCTCCGAAGGTATTTCCAGCACCACTTGTTCCTGGCTGTGTCTGCTACGTTAGAGGAAATCCCCTGGAGGCGCGGACAAACTTCGCTAAAGAAGACAACCCGCGGTGCAGTGTGAATGAAACGTCATGCGATAGGCCCACTTAACAAAACCTAATTATTGTGTACAGTATTAAATTTAGAACTTGCTGTTGTTCGCGACACCAGTTTTTATAAAACGTTGCTTAGTGCATGAAATACACACTCTCCACTAGCTTTGATCTTGTGCGTGCGCGCGAGTGTGTCTGTGCGCGGGCGGGTGCGTATATGTGTGTATGTGAGCGTGCACGAGTGCGTGTATGCGTCCGTTATGTGTTTGTTGTGTATGCATATGTGTGTTCACACACACAGCTTATGTTACCGACGCTGCTTTTTGTTGTAGTTTGTTTTGTTTAATTGCCCTTCAGTCTGTAGGATTCATATCTCAAGGAAAAGAAGCAAACAGCTTCAAATAGAGGAAATCCCGTTTAACCGAACTCATATATCATTGTGATATAAGGGCACCACAAAACGGTTTAAAGTAACCTGCAGCCCCGTGTTGGCGGGTAGCACTTATTATCTCTGAGTAAACTGTATTTATACATTAGCGGATGATTACGTCTTCGCACACTGACAATGGGAAAGGACATTTGGGGTCGATTATTTAAAAGTGAAAGTCTTTCTGAGAAAAGCACTAGGACTTACCAAAAGTGATAGAATCGAGAATAAATTTATTGAGAAAAAGTCGGCGCAGAACCAATACTAAATCACATACAAAGGCAGCAAAGAAAATGGTATGCCACCTAGAGAAAACGTTGTGCAACAATATACCATACAAGGCATAGATCACACGATTACAAGGAATTAGGGCACTAGTGACTGACTGACTTTCTACCCCACCAGGACATCACACAAGCGACAAACACCCGATGACACAAAGTGCCACCATATGGATGAGGATCGCCGCGGAGAGGTCCCAGAAACCGCGTTCAGACAATTGACCATATGTATGGTTTGCCTATATTGCGGCCCCTGGCAAAACCAGGGTGGGGCTTCAAATGATAAAAAAATGTCGTTCTAAAAGGCACGAGACTGCATAACGGTAATTACTTAGAGAACTAGTAGGGACAAGAACCGGATGGGAAAATAATACCACAGACGCTACAACAGTGCAAGGTCCGGCAATTTAGAAATGAGACTAATTCCATAAAAATTAAAATAATCAACAGTTGAAGAAATAGCCTGTATTTTATTCAAAGTAAGCCCCTTGTGCATTGATACAGCAAGTGGCACGATCTAATAAACAATAGAACCACCTCTGTAGTTCTTCTGTTGTTATGGCCTTTAAAATCGATGTTACGGCCCTTTAGAAGTCATCAATATCGTCAAATGGGCGTCCTTTCAATGTCCTTTCAAAGAAATAATCACAGGAAGATAAATCTGGGAAATATGACAGATGGTTCAGAACATACACTTGTTTTGGGGCCAAAAATTCCTGTACAACTACCGCCCTTTGAGCCGGTGTATTGTCATTAAGAGGAAATAAATTGCCAGGTGTTGAATACAAACCGGCAAGCAACTTTTTTTCTTGCTCATATCTTCCACTAAAATGTTACATATAGTCTCTGTGTTACCACCAAATTCATCAACCATCATCCTCACAGTTGAAGAACGATCTTCTTATAACCGTTCTCGGAATTTTGCGAACAGAAATTCGGCGTCCAGGTCAAGCTGCACTAGTAATCATACCCACACAATTTTTGAACTGTGAATACAAGCTAAAAATGTGTGCATGATATAAACAATTATCCCCATAAACTTGTGGCATCAATTCAACTGTTGCAATGGCGCTTTTTCAGAGTTTTAAACAAAATTTAATTTCAGCTTTTTTTGCTCCATGCTGATAACGTAAAAATACAACTCTGACTAGGTTAACAAAATCGCGGCTTGTTTGTTGTCTACTTATCGGGCGGCGATGGAAAGTTGCCAGATCATAGACGAAGGTTGTCTCTTTGTATTCCATGCTGTGAATCATAGATGCCATTTGTGTCTTAGCCATAACAAAATCAGTCTCAGTTCTTGATTGTCGGACCTTGTATGATGTGTTTGTTGTCGAGGCGACCAGAACAAGATGCATGTCGTTCATCCCCTCTAATTGCTACCTGAATAATTTGACACCCTGCAATCAGATCTCAGTATAGATTACAGAGCAAAACGGATCTGAAAGTTTGTCTCAGTGAGACCAAAGAACATCAATACTTGTGGCAAGCCAAAAAGACATGAAGGTTTTACAGATCTGGATTATTTGTATGCAAACTGTTGGTTCAGGACCTCTCAATCTTATTAACTCCGACTTCGAAAGAAATGCCTCTAACTAGTAGACTTTTACATGAACGTTATGGAACACTGCGCTATTCTACCCTGCCCAAAATGTGGCTCTGGAACCCACACGGGAATAATTAAATTGCATTTGGTAGATCTTATTGTAATTAAAACTAGGCTGAAATTACTATTATTATTATTATTATTATTATTATTATTATTATTATTACGTATTTTGACGAGCCGAGTTAAAAACCGTCATCAT